TCAGGTTTTGAAAGCTGCCATCTTTCAGGTTTTATTTAAAAACTTTGGCATATAAAATTCGCCGAATGGTCACACACGAGCAGTGAACGCCTGAGGGAAGAAATGAAGTACATTAGAATAAAGGAGAATTATTTATTAGACAAAGCATTTTTGACAGTTGTCAAGACAAAAATAAAGATTAATAGAGGAATATTTAAAAATAAATAAGACAAGCTATACAACCAAAACAGTACTCAACCATAATAACAATAAAAATAAAACAAAAAAAAATAATAATAAAAAATAAAAAATAAAAAATAAAAATACAAATAAAAACAAATAATAATAAAATATATATATATATAAATAAATAAAAAAAAAAAAATTGTTTTATAATTACCAATATGAACTAAAATATACAAGAAATACATAACCAGTCAAAAATTTGTAAAACAAAAAACTATTCAACAAATTAAAAATATGCTAACGACAATGAAAGGACTAATAATGGAAAAAAAATATTAATGCTAATGTGTAAACATAATTAGTGTAGTGATAAGTAATAAACATCTCCTCAGAGTCGCGTCTATTATTACTGGCGTTTCGATGAGGATCAGCATTTATAACTAGTTTATCCCGTCAGACAAACGTCATTGCCACTTATGCTTTACCCCGCGACTTACGCCTATTCCATACTGCAGTAAAAAAGGACTCACTACAAATAGCCAAAACCTAACCAACCCCAAATTTGTAAAGCACCAATATTTCTTTTGATGATATGATATAAACAGTATAGAATTACTGAACAAACAAAAATAAAAATAAATAAAAAAAAAAAAAATTAAAATAATAAACTTACCATACCACCAAAAGAAAACATGAAAACAAAATAAATTAAAATTCTAATAGAAACATAAAAATATTAATCAATTTATTTTAAAAAATAAAACCAAATAGGTATTATTATCAGAAAGTAGTATACCTCATTAGAAAAAATTTTTTAATCAACAAAACAACAATAGCCTTAAATAAACTCTAACGCTGTCATAGATACCTTATTCGAAATATGATAACCAATCAAAAGTGTAGGAAAATGAGTAACCCGCGAAACCCAAAATCATAACAGTAATAGAATGATAGCGAAAAAGAACGTTGCACAAAAACCTTAAAAATGTAAGCGACATATATGTAAACATTAAATGAAGGATATAAAAATATTCTCTGAATAATAGTAAAGATGAAAATTGTGCATGTGAAAATTAAAACAAAGCTGAGTAATGAATTCAAGATAATATAACATGAAAGTTTCTGTAAACAGTAATAATATGAAAATCAGGAGATAAGTAATATATTAATAAATATAGCAATAAGACTAACTAAATATTGTAATAAAACCAGATAATTTTAAGCCAAATGAGTGGTTAAAAAATTAGTTGTGGGTTATATAACAATGATATAAATCGTGATATAAAAACGATGAAGAAAGCGGGAAAATCTTTCAGGTTTTGAGAGCTGCCATCTTTCAGGTTTTGAAAGATTTTTGTCCGAGAGAAAAATTTAATAAAATAGTTGGATAAATTTCTGTTTTACATAAAGAGACCTTGTACGCATGAGTAATAATCATTGAGTAATGATACGTAGGTATCTGAACTCAATAACTTTTCGGACGTTGTATTGAATGTTATCAGAAGTTCTGATGTTGATAAAGAAATCGTAACTATTAAAATATTTAACTAAAAGGTCTTCAAGATCTTCCTTTGTATACCAAATTATAATGTTAAATAACTGTTATATTACGATTAATGGTTTTAAAGTATAAAAATAGATGAAATGTATTTTAAACTTATAAAATGACGGTTACCTGTATTTTGAAAATGCTATTTGGCCAGTAAACAAAGGGCGGGTACCTGGGTACCAGATTTTTTTAATGCTCGAACAATTACAAGAGTACTAAAACATATTCACATGCGGAAAGTTGCTTACAAAGAATCATGTCTATTAAAAATACAAGTAAAAACTGATGTTTAGCTCATAAAAACACCAGTTTTTTGGTCTATAAACATATATTATGAAATGAACGTTAAAGTTGATTCAAGAAAAAACCAAATAATGTTGAGAAAAATGCCTGATAAAAAATTAGATTTACGTTGTTTAATGTAAAGAAAAAAGAATGTAGTGGCAGTATAGGCATCTGGGCCTGTGTGAACTCTGAAGGTGTCGGTTGCTTTAAACTATTTGATGAAAGACTTGATTTTCAAAAAAACTTAGACAAATCGGATAACTATTTAATGCCTTTTATTGACATTTTCCAAAAAGACATGAGAACTATCTTCTAAAAGATAATTCTCCAAGTCATACTGCTGAAACTTGCAGGCAATGGTTTGAAAAAAAACAACATTAAAATCATGTTTTGGCCTGCCAATAATTAAGATCTCAATTTGATTGAGAACTTGTGGTCTTAGATAGACTACAATCTCAATAAAATTGGAATAAAAGCTGAAATAAGAAGCAACAAAATTACTGAATAATGTTCTAAAATATTTTACTCAGAATTCAGTGAATTCCATTCTAAAACGGATTATTAAATGCTTAAGAGTTAGAGGATTGTCAACAAAATATAAATTTTGATTTTTTCATTTTCTTTTTTTTTATTAAATTTTTTTTTTATTATTATGGTTTGTTAATTTTGCTAATGTGGTTTGTTTATTTTGGGCACATTTTTTATTTTTATCTCTTTTATAAATATCTTTTATCTGATCTACCCGATTAAATTTTAATTCAGTTGTCTATTAACGAATATTTACTGTTTAAATTTATGACTAATGACATTGAATTTACAATAGAATTGTCGATTAACTTAGAGTGAATAATTTGGATTATAATTTATTTTTTCTTGGGTAATTTATGACAATCTTGAACTTATTAAAACCGTTAAAACAAGATGCTTTATAAAAGTAGAACTTTTAAAAGCATTAAAAATAACTTGTCTCTTGCCTCTGCTATGTTTATAAATTTTAGCTTTCAATAATAAATATAGTATAAATAATATCTTTCTTTTCTTTTTTTCTTTATTGAATCTTTTTAACATTTATTAATTTTTTATTAACATCAGCATGTAACACATAATATCGATTTGTCCACCCTCTGAGTGAATGGATACATCACTAATATATTGTATAACCAAGGAAAAAATATTGTTTTAATTTTTTATACTAAGATTTTTTTTAATAAAGGTATGTGCCTTATATTTATTTGTTGATTCGCATAATTTTGATTTTTGATTTTCTCATCTTTGAAATACTGTATAAAAAACCCTAGTTTTCAAAACTAATTAACTAAATTAATTATTTAATTATTTCAAAAGTTTTAATTTTTGTACCTATAACAATTAGTTTCCTCCAGTAAGGCAATCATTAATCGTCATGTAAATCTGACGTCTCTATGGAGACAAAATACAAAAATAATTAAGAAGTTTTATATATATATTTAGAGAGAGATTAGCTAATCACCAATATCGTTGACAAAAGAAGGAATTTTTTTAAATGTTTTCATTTTAAAATTAACTCGTTCCTTTTGTTTAAAGATTGTATGAGTTAAATAAACTTAAAACAAAGATTATAAACTTTAGACAAAAATTAGTTTTAAACTTTTATTTTTACTGTAATACAAACTAAACATCAATATATAATAGCAAATAGATTAATATAGTAATAATAAAAAAATAATAGCAAAAAGAAGTTACTCATATTCTAATGGTTTGTGAAACCAACTTTGAAAGACAAATGCATTTGGTTTCAAGTTTTATCAATGAAATACAGACTGTAAAAAAGTTAGCATCATAAATAAAGATACTGCAGTGTTGAACAACATTAAGACATTGTCGAACAACATAAAAATACTGTTGAACAACATAAAGACACTGTTAAGCTTGTTATTTGGAAGTTTTTAAAGCTTGTTCATTAATGTTAAGCTAATATTTCACCAATCAAAACGGTATATTTTTTATATAGGTAATCAAAATCTTGTCCCAATCAAGGTCACAATATTATGAAAGGTGAATGTTTTGGATATGTTCAAAAAAATGTTGATTGCACTTCTTAGCACAATAATAGCTAAATATAAAACAAAAAACATGCTGATGGTAATAAAATGGTGAATATGGGAAAAAAAACAAAATGATGATAACTTTACAACACTTTTATGGAATTGAAAAACAGAGCTAATATTAACAAATTTTATAAAGAATGCTATTGTGTTTTAAAAATGGCATTAGTATAGTCTTAATACAGCTAAACTCTAGTATAAATTTTAAAGCAACAGTATTACAACTGAAACATCTAAAGATCATTTTAATATTGAAATTGCATACTATGACATAGTTAAACAATTATTTTCTTTTGAAGATTTTGATTATGATGAACTTTTAAAAAAATACCTGCATGTTGAAATTCAAAATGTTAATGACTTTCTGAATAATCTGATTAGGACAAAGTGCCTGGAATGAGTTTGTGTTAAAAGCTTTTTTTTTAGTTAATTAGATAATATACCACTATATTTTAAAAACTTTCCACAGCTTCTGCAGTTATTAAATGCAATGATGGTGTTATAGGAATACTTTTGTGTTTAACAAATAAGGTGCAAATGTAAAGTATTTTTTATACAGCATGCAAATTTATATTGAAATGTGATCGATTAATTAAATTTTTCTCAAAATGACTCATTTTTATCTTGTTTTGGTTTTTAATTTGCTTAGATTAGTATGTGGTATAGTTTAATTGTCAATCTAGTCAAACAAAATAACTTTATAAGAATTTACAAAAAATACATAAAACAACTTATAATGAAATTTTTTAACAATTATGAATAGTTATTTGATATAAAAGATCAAGCACTTTGTTGCTAATAATACGCAAATGCTTAATGGCGTCATCACAAAAAACTTTTAATTTTTAAAAAAAATTTTTTTTTTTGTTTATTAGACTAGGTGAAGAAAAAAATAGCAGTTGCTTTTACTCAGTAATTGGTCAGCTTTACGTGAATAAAAAACTTCAGCAATTTTGGTCAACTTTTTTTTCACGTAGAGCTATATAATTATATACTATATACTCAGCGTTTTTGGAGTAAATTGCTTAGCTTCACGTGAATAAAAATTTTAACGAATTTACTAAAATTTTAACACAATTTAATAATAGTCAAAGCAATGGCTTTTTTTATTCAGCCGGTCTGTTAAGAAAAACAAGTCAAAGTCGAATGGTATTTTTTATTTTTTATTAAAGAAGTTGTTTACCCTGGTGCATCCAATTATTGTCAAACTTTGACGTCAAAATTTTTTATTTTTCAGAATATGAACTTAAACACAATACAGAAGGAAAAGTGGTTACAAAAAAGAAAATACACGTTTATTGCTTTTTCAATTCAAATGGTTGTTATCGGAATGGAATACAGTCTTACCATTGTTACATTATGGTTGTATATCAAAGAAATGATAAATACAAGTTCACCAAAACTGTATTACGGTCTTGTATCTTTGTCATACATGCTTGCATGTGCAATACTAACACCGTTTATTGGAAGATGGGCCGATAGAACTCGAGATATCAATAAGTCATCTTTAATATGTAACATGTTGATGCTAACTGGAAATGTGTTATACACTATTCATTTTTCTCCTATTTTTTTAATAGGAGGAAGAGTCATATCTGGCTTTGGTGGAGCGTTAAAATCTATAATTTATAGCGAAACAATTCGAAGTTACGTAGGGCATGAAACAAGTACAAAGCTATCAGTTTTATCAATTATGCTTAATTTTGGTTTTATGCTTGGACCAGGAATAAAATTCTTTTTTAAAGATATCAATTTTTATATAGGTCGCTGGCATTTCAAAAATGTAAATTTTCCCGGACTATTTTTGGGTTTTTTATGTTTCGCAATGGAAATTGTTACCATAACAATGGTCCATGATTTGTCAAAAGAGTTTGATTATAAAGATTTTACTGAAAACAATTTCATAACAAATGTAGTTGATGAGGTTTACGAATATGATAACATTATAGACGATAAAAAAATACCTTTAATGCAAAAAAATATCCTACCAGTAAATCTAAAACAGCATACTGTAATAAAGATTTTAAAAACATTGTTTGCGAACTTTGACTCAGCACTTATTTTGTTTTCAAATTTTTTTTTATCTTTTTATTTTATCAACGTAGACATATGGCTACCATTGCTAATTATTGAGAAAATGCGTCTTTCGATGTTAGAAACAAACATTTGTTTTTTAGGTGTGAATGGAATCTGTGCTTTTATGCTGTTAATATTTATATGGGGACGGTTGTCTGATAAGAAGTTAATTTTATTATTTATTATTAGCTTAGTTGGGTTTTCCACTGTCAGCGTAAGTTTTATTATTCTTTCACATTTTCCATTTAGCAAGTGTTTGAATATCATTTTATGCATCATTTACATGGTTAGTTTTGCAGGTACACCTATAGTGATTTATGTATTTTTTATAAGTACACTAGCCAAAATGGTCAACTCAAATATTTTGGCATTTGTTGACAGCATTCGATCTTCAATCCATAGTATGGGAGCTCTATTAGCTTTTAGTTTTTCCGCATTTATATTTGATTATGTTGAAATATTTGGAACACTGTATGCTGTCATTATGATAACTATTGGAATCCTGTTTATTATAAGAAAGAAACATATAATTAATCCAGAACTATTGTTGTGATAGATGAATATAAAAATTAACATTTGTTTGTTAATAAAAACAAATAACACATGCCTTGAAGACACGTTTTTTATAATTTCGTTTTTATCCAATGAATTAAATTGTTTATATAAAGCAATACTTTTTTTTTAATAAGTACTATAAATAAATGTTTTGGGAAAATGTAGTAGTGAGGTTCACTTGAAATAGGGTGTGACGTGGTGGGGTAATCTTCCTAATCAGTGCAAATAGGATTTTTTTCTGCAAATTATTATATTGCATAAAAATATAGGCGTCTGTGTTAAAGGAAAAAAAAACTTAAAAAAGTAGTTGTATGATAATACGCCATGTAATATTTTTAATAAGAAATACTAAACCTAAAAAAATAATTCAATCGGATTATAGATAACAGTTTTGGCGTAGTGGTTATAGCGGTAAACTTCAGATCCTAGGATTCGAATTTAGTTAGAAAAGCAGTACTGGTTAGAGTAGTAGGAAAAAACTGCCTAATTAACGGGTGATAACTAAAAAAGGATAACAACCATCTCATATCTAACCACAAAAGTTAAATAAAGAATAGTACGCCTATGTGAAACTCTCTCTGTTTACAAATTTACCATATGGATCAGCTAATTCAATTGTGTTTAAAATGCTGTCAAAACAAAACGTACTACGCAAGCGCATTGTAAAGTTCTACCAAAGGCATGAGAATCTCGTAAAAATGTTTACTTTGAATCATTTTAAAATTAAAAATGTTTCAGTTTCAACTATTTCCCGTATTTTAGTAACAACCAATTGTAAAAGTGGTAGGAGGACCAGCTAAAATAATGAAAAGAGGAGACTTCGTTTGCTACACGGTGCTTTCCCTGTGGAACTTTAACTTTTTTTAACGAAAAAAATGTGTGCGATCTAACTTTATTGTTGCATTTAAACGACTACAGAAGCTTAACGATGATGAGTTTGATTATGACTTTTTTAATATAAAGGTTCAAAAATTTTAATTTAAAGGTTCAAAGTCTTTATGATATTAAGAGCTAATATCGTAAGTTGTTATTTGTATGTAAATATTTTGCTACAACTCCATGGTCCTATGTTGCCCAGAATGAAACTTCAAAAGTTGCCGTATTGAAATCAAATCATCTCATAACAAGCTACTGGACGTCCGAATTATCAGAAAAGTTCATTAGTCCGACTATATAACATTTTTAAAGCAAATTAGACTATTATAGACATATTATTATTGTTAGGTATTTGTAATTTTTTTGGAATTGGTATTATTTCTTTCTTTGAAGTATGAAATGAATTTTCACAATTTTTTTTTCATAGTCTAAAATAAAATTGATAGTAAACATCGTATATTAAACAAATCATTTTATCTAAAATTAGTAAAAAATAAAATGTAAAAATTTACTAAAGTTCTATTTTACGGATATACAAGTAAAACAACATAAAGTACATACACAGCATAAGTTTTTTACTGTATATAAAACTATATACAGTTGCAAATTATAATTTATAAGGTTTGACCGAAAGCTTCAATAAATTATATTTTGTAATGTTTTTTCACAAAACATTTTATAAAAACTTTTAAAATAAAGCTAACAATCTAATATTTTATTATCTTTTTCTCTAATTAATGATTAACTAAACAAAAATAATGAAAAATAATGATTATATAATGAGTATATAACTAACTTAATCATATATGAATAACAAATTAAAATATGGAAAATAAGCTTGTAATAACATTGTAAAATTCTCCTTGTGTCTCTTCATAGTAGTTTGTTTTTATTTTAGATGCAAAGACCACGCAAATATGGGAAATGGAAAGTTGAAAAAGGCTGTTGAAGCAATAAAACAAGGAGAAATCAGCTTAAATGTAGCTGATTATGAGTTTTGTATTCCAAAAGCAACTTTTTCAAGGCATATATATATAAATAAAAAAAAACTACTGATGCAAATGTGAAATTTCATAGTCGACTTACCACCTTACCTAAAGAAATTGAAACAGAACTAGATGATCATTGTTTGTTATTTGAATCGATCTGTTTTGTATTGAGGATTGATAATCTTCGTCGTCTAGCATTTGACATTGCAAAAGCTAACAACATCACAAATAATTTTAACAAACAAACACAAATGGCAGAAAAAAAGTGGTATTACGCATTTATGCAAAGGCATCCACAACAGTCGCTTCGTGGGCCTAAATCAACATCAATTGCACGTACACAAGGTTTTAATAAAGAGCGAGTGCAATCTTTCTTTAATCTACTTTCAAAGTTTTACATGGAAGAAAAGTTAACTCCAGACGGATTTTATAATATGGGATTGAAATTCGGACAAATAAACAATTTGACGTCACCAAAACGGTACCCCATTTATTTGCAGACCTTACTCGAAAGACCGCATGAAATGTATATAACCACGCATAGAAAAGTCTAAAACTACTTAAAAACTAAGAAACAGGGTATTTTACAAAATACAGAACCTTAACTAATATCGAACAATAGGCGTAACAATGCGCACTAATATTTACTGCGCTATTTATATTAAGATTAAAAATCCATAATGGTTTCTGAGTCATCTTTTTGATTGAAAAAATAACCAACTTACACGGCGATCTTTTTTTTGACTTACTAAGTAAATTTTTAGAGTTGTCTGTATTTTATTATTCGGTTCTTTTTTTATAAGACTTTTCATTCCGTAATTTTAACTTAAAATACAAAGAATACAAAATGGTATATATGGATATCAAAATTTATCCATCGCATGAGCAATTGCAATCAATGTATAAAGGTGCTTGTATAAGCTTGAAAAAAAATGTTATGCGTAAGTTAAAAGATGCGAGTATATTAAGATCTAGTTCTACAAATCCCCACCACAGACAAATATTTATAACGAATGTTCCAAAGCTCGTTTTTGCTGGGGTTTATGGAAATCTCATCACATTAGCAGAAAATAAAAAAGTACAACACTCACAAAACTCCACACCACTTTTTGAAGTTTTTAGTATTGAACGTGCTGCGGCTATATTTGGAAAACAATCTTTATTACGATGTCATGACGGTAATGATACAACTATTATCACACCATGGTATATTACCAATCAAATGGTAAATGTACTTACAATAGAAGCTAAAAAAATATTTTTTTATATAAAGGCCACCTAATTATTCCATTAATTGTTAATACTGACTTTGTTCGTGTTTTTGTACCATGTGGTGGCCCTGATCCGAAAACTGACAGTGTACCAGATTATGTAAAGAACATATGTCTTGACCAAATCATAGATGTTGATGTCACTTCTCTAAAGTTTGTTTGTGCCACAGAAAAACTATCTCTTTTAAGGAATGCAGACTGAACTGTAATCCCTAAAGGCCAAGTAGAAGAAAAGGATATTATCTGTTCACGTGGAGTTTTTTACAAAGTACAAACATTGGAAGATGATATTTATAGACCTTCAACTCATAACATTGTAAGATTCACAACTTCTGCAACAAGAAATGTAAATAACCAACCATTTAAAATTGCGAAAATTCCAAAGTTGCAAGGATGTATTTGTGAAATTTCTCTTGAGCTTGTCACCATATACAAACCGGTGTCTATTGTTCTGGAAAAAAAATCTTTACATATATATATATATATATATATATCTTTATATATATATATATATATATATAGACGTATATATATAAATATAAATACACTGGCGCAGGAACTGTCCCCTAAACCCCTGTATATATATATATATATATATATATATATATATATATATATATATATATATATATATATATATATATATATATGTATATATATATATATATATATATCTTTATATATATATATATATATAGACGTATATATATAAATATAAATACACTGGCGCAGGAACTGTCCCCTAAACCCCTGTATATATATATATATATATATATATATATATATATATATATATATATATATATATATATATATATATATATATATATATATATATATATATATATATATATATATATATATATATATATATATATATATATATATATATATATAAATACAGGGGTTTAGGGGACAGTTCCTGCACCAGTGTATTTATATTTATATATACGTGTATATATATATATAAAAAGATATATATATATATATCTTTATATATATATATATACACGTATATATAAATATTAATACACTGGTGCAGGAACTGTCCCCTACACCCCTGTATTCATATATACATATATATATACTAGGTTGGTTGAAAAGTTCGCGGAGCGGCACCTATGTTGCAGTAGTAGAAACAAATTTATAACTGTATTAAACGTATTCATTCTTCGTATGAACGCATAAAAAATTTCAAGTCGATATGTCATTTCAGTCTTTGTTTACAAACTATTGAAATTAGACGTGTCATAGTATTTTTTAAAATGGAAAATATTGAACATCGTGCTGTAATAAAATTCTTTGTGAAAAAAGGTTTAAAGCCCATGGAAATTCATAATGAAATGGTAAATGTGTTGGGTGATGATGCTCCTTCAAAAACAACAGTATGCAAATGGGCTGCGGAGTTTCAACGTGGGCGTTCAAGCCTTGAAGATGACCCTCGCTCTGGACGTCCAAAAAGTGCTACTACTGAAGAAACGATTAATGCTGTGCATGACATGGTTATGGATGATAGACGATTGACCAAACGTGAAATTGCTGAGGCTGTGGGCATCTCAGATGAACGGGTATTACACATCTTGCACGATGAATTACGTCTGAGAAAGCTGTTGGCAAGATGGGTGCCGCATTCGCTAACTCTGGATCAGAAACCCACTCGAGTAAAACTTTCTCAAGAACATTTGGCCCGTTTTCAAAAGAATAAAACAGATTTTGTGCGTCGATTCGTAACCATGGATGAGACTTGGGTTTACCACTATGATCCGAAGCTGCGACAACAAACTGCAGAGTGGACAGAACCCGGTTGTTCAGCTCCGAAGCAAGTGAAGGCGTCAAAATCGTCAAAGAAGGTTATGGCATCAGTTTTTTGGGATGCGAAAGGAATTTTATTAATAGATTACCTTCAAACCGGTAAAACGATAACAGGTGAATATTATAAAAATCTTTTGGACCAGTTGGATAAAAAAATTCGTGAGAAAAGACCTGGTTTGCTGCATAAAAAAATCATTTATCACCAGGACAACGCACCTGCTCATATCAGCGATGTTGCAAAGGCGAAATTGGTCGAATTAAAGTACGAACGCTTGGAACATCCACCCTATTCACCAGATCTGGCTCCGTCCGACTTCCACCTCTTTCCACATCTCAAAAAATTTCTACGTGGAAAGCGTTTCTCATCACATGAAGAAGTCATTGCAGCCGTAAATGGGTATTTTGAAAGCCTTCCGGAATCGCACTTCAGAGATGGGATACATGAATTGGAGAATCGTTGGAAAAAGTGTATTGCTCTTAAGGGAGAATATACTGAAGAATAAAGTCATTTTTTGAATCATAAAATTGTTTTTTCATTTCCGCTCCGCGAACTTTTCAACCAACCTAGTATATATATATATATATATATATATATATATATATATATATATATATATATATATATATATATATATATATATATATATATATATATATATATATATATATATATATATATATATATATAAATATATGAATACAGGGGTTTAGGGGACAGTTCCTGCACCAGTGTATTTATATTTATATATACGTGTATATATATATAAAAAGATATATATATATATATCTTTTTATATATATATACACGTATATATAAATATAAATACACTGGTGCAGGAACTGTCCCCTACACCCCTGTATTCATATATACATATATATATATATATATATATATATATATATATATATATATATATATATATATATATTTATATATATATATATATATATATATATATATATATACACGTATATATATTATATATATATATATATATATATATATATATATATATATACATATATATATATATATATATATATATATATATATATATATATATATATATATATATATATATATATATATATATATATATATATATATATATATATTTATATATATAAATATATGAATACAGGGGTTTAGGGGACAGTTCCTGCACCAGTGTATTTATATTTATATATACGTGTCTACTTTTTGTATCATTCAAAGAAATGAAGCATAGTCAAAAGTAATAGGTTAGTTGTAAAGTTTTAGAGGTTCATCGCATACCTCTAGCAACAAACTAGTTATATTCAAATTTTTATTTTAAGTGGTCTTCTGCATTTTTGCCACAAAATCAGCCATTTTTTGGTTTTCGCCATCTTAAATTTGGCTCCAAAGCAACCCCTAGTTGTATTTTTTTTTTAGCTTTTTATCTTATTTTATTATGTATTTACCTAATATATAGTAAAAGTTGTTTAAATATCAAAATGGAAGATTTTTTTTTTGTCTAATGGGTTGTTCCCCCTTAACTAGGTTCTCCGTTTCCAACTTCACCGATAACGTTTATGTGATTCGAGCGGAAATCGAAATCGCATTATCAGATTAGTCCAGTGCTCTAACTAACTGCACCACGGCTATTACAGTAATTAAACTGGATGGATAAAACGTTTAAACAGGCGAAACATTACAAATCCTATCCGTTAATCCATTAAGACGCGTGTTAATCCATTAAGACAGATTCAGCTTACTCTATCACCTGTCTCATGTTTAAATCTTCTTCTTCTATTAAAAAAACCTATCGTTTGCATAAATATGTTAGAAGTTTATTTTTATCGTTTGCATGTTTGAAGGTTCCAACAAGGTATTGGAATGTCAAACCAAATCTTTTATGTAATTTTTTTTTATAACAGCTTAACAAAAGAAGAATTCTCTCAAAATAATTTTAACATTCGGTACTTAGATTGGTTTGCCCTTTGTCATGCAATAAATCCTTAAAAATATTAAAATAACGTTAACTTTCGTTACAAGACATTCTTTTTGCAAAACACAAGACATTCTTTTTGCAAAATGCAAGTTTGTTTTCAATGCCATCAATTTCAAAACCCATTATTCATATCAATACAATGTATGGCAAGCAATTTCGCTCAGAATTCGGTAACTAGAAAGGTAACTACTCAGAGTCAAGTTCAAACTTCGATCAACTTTTGATGATACTACTTATAGGTTGCATGCAAAACGTTATTAAAAGCTTAGTATGCTTTATCAAGAGTTTCGTAATTACAAAGTTCTTGATAACACTTCTAAAGCGATTGGTTCAAATCTTGATATTTAATGTTAGCTGAAATACGTATTTCAGCTTTTAGAAGTGTTATCAAGAACTTTGTAATTACGAAACGTATATACGTATGCGAGTTCAACCTAAACATATAAACTTAAACCTCACAAGGATTGTGACTTGCTTCAGCAGTATTGTCATACTTATAAAAGTTACGTTCCTATTGGTCTGAACAGTGTCAAACATCATTGCTGTATGCTGCAACTTTTATTTGCATGCCGTATGTTCAATGCTCATACCAACAGATAAATAAAAATACTCTATTTAATTCGCACACTTAGTCTTATAATAACGTTGATCATGTAAAATTTAAGTTAAATTCAAAACGTTATTTTTCAGAATCATTATTTTATATTTATTAAAACCGTTGTTTTTAGAACCATTATTTTTAGGGGTCGAATAATCAGCCCCCTAAAAATTATGATTTTTGCGTAATTACAATAAGTCGTAATCTAGTCGGAATATCACCAGTAATTTTTCAAATTAATAGTAATTAAAACAACGTTTGAAAAAATTTAATTTGAAAAAAAATTTACAATTTTACAAGTCAATTTTACAAAAACCATATTTTTAATAAGCATTACAAATCCAAAAAAAAGTTTTAAAATACAATTACAATCTGATTTAATAGTAATATGAAACTTTATATTCGACCAGATTACGATTTACTGCAATTATCTTTATGATGCGCATAATTTATTAAATAAATTTACATAAATTATATTTAAAATCCTGACTGATTTCTTTTCGGGAAGTCAGACAAGAAAACTGCGTATTTTGCGCTTATGCTATTTCGCTATCTACCCCAAGGAACTTTAATAAACGTAATAAAAATAAAAATTTAATATAGCTCCTTGATCTATCGAAACAAATCCTACAACTTTTCTTTGATGTGAGTAGTTTTAGAGATTTTTATTTTTTAACCTTTCTAAAAAATCAAAACTTAGTTCAAATTAAGTATTCAGTGGCATTATAATATAAAATAAGAAGCTTTTAAGTAGAAATTAAATTAAAATTCTTTTTATTAGTACATTTTGATTTAATATTTTAAAAAAGCAATTAGGCACCACCTTCATTAAAAATTTGTGTATACATAGACGCAGAGGTATGCATAGCGAAGTGTACATAAAAAGCGGAGTGCACATGCAGCGGAGTGTAAATAAAAAGATCATACATAAATCGATTTACATGTATGCAAAACTTGATCTACAGATCGAGTATACATAAATCAAGTGCTCCTACATGTATGTACACTCGGTGTGTGTACATTTGATGTACGCACATTTGATTTGTGCAGTCATTCGATTTGTGCAGTCAATTTATGCACACTCCGCAGAGTGTGCATAAATCGACAGCAGGCTGTAAATACTAATTTTTTAATTTAATAAATTAAATTGATATTTCATTAACTTAGCGTTTAATTCTCAAAACCAATTTTTTTTTTTACTTCATAAAAATGATAGTGAAAAGTTTGAACATTATAATTTTTCTCAAATAAAATACTTTTAACTAAACTTCTTCGTCTGATTCTTCAAATTGTATTGGTTGGGTGACTAGGGTGTAGAGGACAGCTTTTGTTTTTCTTATTGTGGCCAGGTATTTTGCACACAGAACAAATTATCTCTTTTATCTTTGGCATAACAGAATCTGTTAGAATAAATTGTTGTAAACGCATTAACCTAATTATAGTTTCGAATCTTGTTCTGTCTAAATTCGTTTCGTTAATCTCTGAAAACTTAATTCGTTTATTTAAATGTTCACTTGCGTTACAATTAAACATTCCATAACCCCATCCAAATCTAGCGTAGAATACCATAAGCTTTCCAACATGATTTCTTAAATAATGTAAGTATGGCATGCCTTCAGTACAATCAGATCCAGCATACGTAATAAACTTTTGAAAATACTCTTCACACCTTTCATTGAAAGTACCTGAAAACTCAGGAGATGTTGATCTGACATCGCTAAAAATAGTAAGTAACATTTAGCTATAAAACCCTTTAACAATCCTTAGGAAATGATCAAAACACTTTTTATATAAATACAAAATACTTTTCATATAAATAAAGTAAATTTCATATAAATATTTAACAATTTTGGATTGTGCTGTGTTTTATATAAAATAAGGTAATGATAATTTGGAACATTGAAATAGAAAAACTTAAATAAAACAATAAGAAATACTTTGCAAGACTAGCAAATCTCTTGTAGAGGTCGAGTATTTGTCGCAACTTTAAGGTACTTTGATCAAGCCAATTTTCTCCGTCGGCAAGAAAACTATTTAAAAAAGTATCAATGTTTAATTCCAATAACTTACAATCATTCCCAATGATTTTTAAAGTTTCAGAACCATCATAATTCTTCTTTTTGCTGAAAAAAAAAAAAATTATAAAGATTAGCTTGAAAACCTATATTATTCTTACATACACAGGGCCGTGGCCAGGCTCCCCCACAACAATTGGGTAGGTCCTTTTTCAAAATAGAGCCCTTTATCAAATTTTATTTTGTCATCCTTTGAAAATTTTGAAAAAATTCTTTTTTCAAAATTTCGGGACCCTAATGACAGGTTTTTAGAGCCTCTGACCCCATAGCCATGGAACTGTACATACAACATTAAAGACATAAAAAACATTCATTACATGATTTATTTCCTACATAGAAATTGTAACAATATAGATAAATATATATATATTAGATATAAATTAGAAAAATAGAATGAAAAGAAAGAATTCCAAAGCAAACAAAAAAACATATATGTAAAATAACAGCCTTTTTATCAAAGTTGAACAGCAAATGCAAGATGGATCAAAGTATGGCATAATAAAACATAATATATGTGTAGATTTTTGTGTGAGTTTATATCATACCAATTATGTGTGTGGATTGGGCAAGCCTGGCACGGATATATTGATTCATGGTATTTTAAACTGGCAGTAGTCTAAAACGCTGAAAAAAATTTACACTGCTGTTTAATGTCAATTTTTGTTGTTCCAAAAAATGGACGACTCTATATAAAATTGATTAATGGCTTTTAAATAATAATAACACATTGGCATATATTTCATAATATTTATTGTAAATTTTAATTACCTTTTAAAATATTGCTCAATTTGATAAGCCAAATAAGTACAACCAATATTTCGAAACGCTTTGCCAATTCTACTATCCATATTTCTTTTATTTATGACATTATACATAAACTTGTACATATACCGGTGGTGGGCTAATATGAGATGCAAACCACATGGAGGCATTAAGTCAATAACAAAACCTTTTAACAACATTGTTGTCTGAAAAAGTTAAAAAAAAATTGTAAATCCAACTAGTATTTAATAATTTATTTAAAGTAAACATAAAAAACAGTGGCAAACTTTGATAAAGTTAAAAGCACAAAATATCTCATAACTCAAAAATAACATGGTCACATATAGCTATCTGTTACAATAAAAAATTGGTAACTAAAATACACCTAAAAATTTGAGAAAAAAATATTGATTCTTTAACTTATTTTTTTAATAATGGCCGTAATTTGCAAGCTGCATTTTTTTAAACTGTGCAGAATTGTGGTCAGGTGTCTCACCCAGGACAGACTCCACTTTCACCTAACTCTGCCATTACCGCAATGCTACGCTTTTCTCCAGATTTCTTAATTTTTAAAGACCATTTGTCTTTCATTAATTAACATCCATAAGTTGATGTACAAGAACATAGGCCAATTATGTTCTTTAAAAAACCTAAATCGGCCACAAAAAAAAAAAAGTACATTGAAGTGTTCAACTGAATTATTATCTGGATTTACTAAATTAATACCATTTATGATAAGGTCAGTAAGATCTTGATAATGACACTTAACATGAGTATCAAGCATAACTTTGGATTCCCTGCCTCTCCACAGTGTTGTTATAAACTGTCCATAAGGAGAATTAATCAATGTTTTTAAATTTAAGAGTGAAAACGATGTCTGTTCTGTTGGAAATCTAGACGCAGCCCGGAAATTATCACCAGTGTCTTTTATAAAGAGAGTGCGTTTTGTTGAATCAATAGAATTGTAAAATGTTGAATTAACTTGCTTTGAATATGCAAACAAATCTGCTTGCTTTTCAATACTAAGAAATTCCTTTTCATGCAGTAACTTTTTACATGAAATAATATACTGTAAAGTTTCTGCAAGATTGGTCTTAGCTCCCATACATTTACAAATGATTTCATTATCCTCGTGAATTTTTGATATTTTACCTACTTCTGCAGTTAAACAGTATTCTCTTACATTTGTATAAGTTGGTAAATCTATTAAATTTTTGGACATAGCAGCTCTTAGACTTTTATAGCCACGTTGCGATAAATTACATTTACCAAGTAAAAGTTCAGCTGTTTGGGAACAATTTATCTCAATTCGTTTGTCAATTTTAGTGATAGTCTCAGTAATAATAGAAGGATTTTTCTTGTACAAATGTTGAATATAACCTATAAAAGGCAATATATATATATATATATATATATATATATATATATATATATATATATATATATATATATATATATATATATATATATATATATATATATGTATATATATATATATATATATATATATATATATATATATATATATATATATATATATATATATATATATATTCCATATAAAAATAAAGTTAAATAAATACTTTTAGATTTAGATAAAGGTAAAAAATCAAGTTAGTAAAAAAGACTGCTAAATGCCAAAATCTATAAATTTTTAAATCTTACTTTTTACATCTCCAAATGATATATACTCAACCAGTTCATGTATATCTTCATTACGTGCATGAATTGATTTAGAGTTTAATAAACAACTAGTCTCTGCTGCATTTCGACTTCGAATAGTTAACGCACATCGTAAAGGAATGTGGTCTTCAAATTCAACTTTTTTGAACACTTTTTTAGCTGAACACATTTTATGTTTTGAAGATGTCTCAACATTGATAGGATTAGCAGATATTATTTTTAAAACTTCTGGTTTCATAAAACCAAAAAACTCAAAACCAGACCACTTTTTATTACTCTCAATCCCTAAAAAGTTTAACATTTGCTTGACACAAACAGTTGCTTTTACATTTGAAAAGCTTGCTATTGGAAATTCTATTGTAAATACTTTAAATATTGGAATATGATTCTCAGATTCCACTTTACAGTGGATTTTAATTTCATCAAAATTTGCAATTTTTGCGATTCTTATTGATTCATAGTTACAATGGAAATTAAATGAACCACTACCAAGTTGGCAGTGAAAGTTTATATTGTCAACAGCTATACCATAATCAACAATCCCATGCCATTTTAAGTTTCGAGATGGAAAACTATAGCTTACAGAATAGTCTTTACCTACTACTTTATAATTTTTATTTACTGCTTGATTTGTATTATTAGTAGTAGCATTCATCAAATTAATTACTTCCTTATATATATATATATATATATATATATATATATATATATATATATATATATATATATATATATATATATATATATATATATATATATATATTTAATTCTAAATTTATCAATTTCGTTTTAGATTACTTTGTAACCTAAACAACGGCACACTTCGCCTTTAGGACAAGGGGAGAATTCGACTAGAAAAAAAAAAAAAGGGCTCTTAAGGGTTAGGATTTTACTAATTAATTATTTTGCACGTAAATAAACAGCTTTGTCTTATTGTCGTCAGCTGTTTAAAAATATTATATTTAAAATAAAGTTGAGGGAAAAAATTGGAGAAAAATAAGACTAATTTTGTGAAAAATAATAACAATATTTAAATTTGTGAAGATTGTCTATTTAAATAGTAATAAAAATGTTAAAAAAAAAACAAAAACATTTTTAGGTATCTGAAGATGCCAAAACATTAAGGCTCATATCTATTTCATTTCTTTTATTCTCCAATCGTTAAACGCCAGCTTGTTCAGTTTTTCATCCTGAAAAAAATAAAACTTTTTATATATACAATGAGTGGTGTGAATGTTCACTCTACTATACGAAATAAATATTATATTTTAAAAATCACGAACGCTTAAGCATAAAAAAAAGGTTATATAAAACAAGGAGCATTTTCCAATAGTCTTAACTTCAAAACACTATTAAACCCTTTTAGAGCTAAATCTTTTCTAAAAGTTTTGTCAAAAGATATAAAAATTTTTTAAAATAAGATTAAGGCACATTTATTATTTTAGAGGTTAGTTAACAAATTAGATAATCAATTATTACCCCCCCCCCCAACCCTGTAATCAAGCAAAACTATTTAGTATACAACACAACCCACCCACGCTCTTTCCCCAAACAATAAAAAATTTATTTCATAATTAACTTTAACAATTTAAGTATTAAATAACTCCTTAAGTTTAGATTTTTAATAACTAGAAAAACAAAAAAAACCTTTTACACTTATACTTACTGTCATTATACCTAACCCCCCTACCATTCTCTCTCCCCCAAAAAAAATCCCATCACTTTCACTATAAACAGGGATATTAATACATGTAACCCCCTCCCTATCCTAAATTATATAATATGTGAATCATCCTTTAGCTACATCCCCTGTAGTTTTTAGAAGATAAAATATTATCTCACTTATTTCAGACAACTAACGTCTCTAATTGTATTCCTATAATTTTTTCATAAGAAAAGATAAGATATTATTTATTACAACTAATATCTCTAATCTTACTTTGATCTTACAAAGGAAAACGGCTAACAAAATTTAACAAAAGTATAAGTATTAAGCAACGAAAGAAAAAAAAGAATGTTATTTAAAAAATAATTTTATTTAGCAATCAATTAGTTAGCAAATACCAAATCTTTGCTAAGGAAATCTACAGCTAAAGCAAATTTCGAAATGTCAAAATCTTCTGCCAGATTATAATCAGCTTCGCAAGTCCAGTAAGCAATGACATACAAAGGGCTATTTTTACTTTTCATTCTTTCAATTTTTCCATTGTAAATAGTTTCCTGACAAGTATCACCATCACTCCAAGTGTGTAAAATCTTTCGACCAATTACTTTACCTTCTAAAATATCTAGAATATCTTGTTTGGTCAATGGATCAAGCTCAGGAAATTCTACACTTAGATTTTGCTTAGTTAGATTTTTCACTTTTTTCTCTAATTTTTTTCTATCTGAAATTTGTTTTTTACTTATGTTATGGTTTGCTCTTTTTATCATCTCTTTTCGCAATTCTAAGTACTGACTACAATTTTGCTGCCTTTTTTTTCTTCCATATGAAATTGCAAAATTTATAATTTGTTCCTGTTTTGTTTCATTGCATGAATCAATAAAAGCAAGAACATTGTTTTTTTGTGCTCGTATTCGAGATGACAAATAGCACAAAGTAGCATTAGGGGAACGTTTTTTAGCAGCACTAAACATGCCCATAACCTCCTCTGCATCGATGTTATTTACTCTAGCAGATCTTGTTTCAATCAAAAGACCTTTTGTTATTTCTATTTTGAAATAACGTTTATATTGTCTGTGAAGAACATCCACACAGCAAGTTAGACATGCAGACATTTGCCTACAGAACATTTCTTCATTCAATGGTTTTTTTCTTAATGAAAGAAGCAGGCTATTATTTGGTAATTCTTCTCCAAAAAAGTCATTTGCACAAGTTAACAAATCTAATGGGACCATAGTATATTTTTTAAAACATTAATAACAGCTTGAACTATATTAACTCCATATAGATGATGAACTTGATTTTCTACTGAGGTATAAAATTTCTTCATCCAAGGACCAGTGAATAGTTTACCCAAAATTCCAAGAACTTGAAGTTCTGATAAGGCAATGTCAGTTGAGAAATCTTCCCGTAAACTTGTTTGTAAGCCACCACATTTAACTGTACCAGTAGCTAAAAATTTTTTAAAAGTTTCATGATGTGCAAAATAAACTCCCGCCAAGTGAAATAAGATATGCAGACGATTTCCACGGTATCATGAAATCAAACCACGTGGAAAACCTTCAGATTCTAAGAATAAAGAAAAGCCTTTGGGATCACCTTTTCCATTAACAAACCTCATCTTGTTCATTTGTAAAATAATTTTACTTGCAAGGCATTTATTTCCAAAAAGTTTTCCAGAAACATTTTCTAATTTTTTTAATGTTAAACAACACATAGTGGATATGGTTTCTAAAGGATGTAGATGACAATTAAGCTCATTCAATGATTTATCCCACGATTCATTCAACAATTCAATAGTTGCATGATTTACTTTTACTCTATCAGTCATTGTATTAACAATATTACTTATCATTGCTTTACGAGTTTCTTGATAGTTTGTACTGTTAAACTCTGATGAAACAAGAGCAAGATGATCTACCGTATTAATTATATGTTGATGGTAATCAACAGCAGTACCACCTGCTAACTGGTCAACAGCCATAACAAAACACTCGTATTGTGTAGTAAAATGTATAGAATTAATATGGATACCCTCTTGTGTGGTGGAATCAAAGCCAAGTGTAACATTTTTATTAGACAATAATTTTTCTGATACTTGATAGTCAGTTATTATTCCTAACTCCCTTACCATAAATTCAACTGTACTGCGACAAGGTACTGATTCAAACTTAAAACCAAATCTTTGAGAAAAATTCTCCAATATTATTGGAATATTTTTTGTTGGCACTTGATTAACAATTGCATCATAAACAAACAACCTTAATTTGAATGTGTATGATTTATGATCTATTTTTGAACATTGGGGAGAAGTTTTTTTTTCACATAAATTTTCTTCAAGGATTGAATTATTTATTTGCAATGTAGTTATACATTTTTCTTTTTCTTGAAGTTGTTGATGCAATTGTTTAACATTTTGAAGCTCAGAATTGATTTCTATTTGAAAATGTTTTGCTTTTTTTGCTTTATTTATTAAATAATTGCATTTTTTTCTTAACATTTTAATGATTTTTCTCAACCTGTATTCTGGATCATACATATGTTTTTTAAGCTTAAGTATCTGCACCTCTTTTCGCTTCAGCTTTTGGTTTAGAACTCGCATATGTTTTTGTTTTTGTAACAGACTTTTTAGACTGTTTATACGTTCAGCATTTTTTTTGTTCATAAAAACTCTATCACTGATGGCTTTATGCAACCTTAATCTAAGAGATACACACGATGCACAATTAGTGGTAGAAGGTTCAACATTTACAGGAACAAGGGAATAGTTTATTTTATTAGACTGCTTGATATCTGGTTTAATTTCAAAAGGCTCATGACAAAGAGATTTATAGCGCTGAAATCTTTTAACAGTTGATATATTTTTGAATTCCTTAAAGTTGTTAATTACTTTTCTAACTCTGTGTTTGTAAACGAAGTTGGTATTTTTCTTCAGTGCTTTAAATGTTTTAATTAAACTGGACCCATTGGAATAATAAGTGAACATAACATGACCCTTTAATACCGGAATTCCGGAAGGCAATGGAAGGTTTGCTGAAAAATTATCATTAATGTACTGCAGGCCTATACCATATTTCTTGATAGGATGATTTGGTACAGACATTCTTTTAATAAGTAGTTATGACTATGATTTGGAATAAAAATAAAAATATAACATATCTTTAACACTAATTTGGTTACTAAAAAAAATTTGCAATAAAAACTTTAATAGCAAATTTAATAATGGCTGTCAAAAACATAAAAAGCTCTAATCCAGGGGAAAAAAATTAGATATCAGGGGAATATACTACAAACTTTTAAGTATTTTAAGAGCATAGATAATTGATTGTTGTAAATGGCCACAGTAGTTTAATGAAGGTCCACGCTCATATTTTTGTTAAATTTAAACATAATACTATTATGTTTAAATTTAATTAATTTAATTTAATACTATTATGTTTAAATTTAAGGTAAACTATTATTAATAGTTTACCTTAAATTTCAAACCAGCACAAATAAGAATGAGGTGGAGAATAAAATTAAATTGTAGCACTAAATAAAAGTGTAATTCTTTCTTAAATAAAGGAATAAGCAAAATATGACATTTAAGCCAACTGAAGCGAGTAAAAATGATGAAGAACTAGTATACTTTTAAAACGCATGCGAAGTTTGTCACACAAACAAGGAGCCAAAATATCGCGGACGGCGATTTGTTTTTGTAACGTACCTATATATACATATATATATATATATATATATATATATATATATATATATATATATATATATATATATATATATATATATATATATATATATATATATATATATATATATATATATATATATATATATGTATATATATATATATATATATATATATATATATATATATATATATATGTATATATATATATATATATATATATATATATATATATATATATATATATATGTATATATATATATATATATATATATATATATATATATATATATATATGTATATATATATATATATATATATATATATATATATATATATATATATATATATATATATAAATACTTATTTATTAACTCTTGTATCATTATCATAATGATTATGTATTACATAATTAATATATATACATATTTGTATATATATATATATATATATATATATATATATATATATATATATATATATATATATATATATATATATATATATATATATATATATATATATATATATAATATATATATATATATATATATATATATATATATATATATATATATATATATATATACTTATTTATTTATACATTTGTTATTTTATTTATATATAATATAAATAAAATAATAAATGTATAAATAAAAAAACTTGTTTATTAATTCTTGTATCATTATCATAATGATTATGTATTACATAATTAATAAATATGTACTATATATACATTTATATTACAAGTAAATATATAATACATTTTTAATTTATTTACAAATTTAATATATAGACATATATATAAGTGTATATTTAAATATACACTTATACTTGTATATATAAGTTTAAATAAATGTTACTTTTTTAAATTTTATCTCGCGGTGTTTATGTTTTAATATTATCTCGCGGTGTTTTTAAACATTAGTTATATTGTAATTCTGCAGAATCAGAAACTTATGATGATTTCGGCTAAAAGTACGTTTTTTAAAGAAAAAAGCCTATATTTTGCTTTAGTAAATTCTACATGAAAAAACTGAAATTATTTTTACTTCTTTGTTATTCTTAATAAAAAAGGTGTTAAATTTTTAAATAATAATAAAAAAAAACCAAAATATAATGAACATCTGTGTGTATTTTTAAATGCCCCCGAACGTCGATGATCTGCCCCCGAACTTCGATCATCTTAAAAATGAATTTTATTAGCAGGGTTTGGCCTAAACACCAATTTTTTTATTTCAAAGATACGAACAATACTTTGACTTTGTAACGCGCAAGTTTTTATTTAAAATTTAAAGTGAATTAGATATGTATATATCATTTTAAATAGGCTACATTGAATTATTTCACTATTCGGTAATTTCCAGATCCATGGATATTAGGAAAACCAATATACGAAAGATCGCCGTGTTACAAACTCTTAGATTAGCCTTCATCCGTGATTAATCATATGTTCTGAAAATTCTCGCATGGATTTCTAATATATAAATCTACAATTCCAGTTTACAACATACGTCTTCTTTTAAGAGATGCCGTGAATATATTTGTATTTTGTAAAAAAATCATAGTCAAGAAACACATAGTCTGGAAGCACGGGTCGTTTCTATTGTTTTGAGGTATTAACTTGAATTTCGGCCCGTTCATCCTGCACATGTTTTAAAAATGAGCACTGAACTTCATGTAGAAACACAGCTTGATGATTTGTATATGGCTCTAAATAATGGAATTTTTGACAATAACATGGAAATTGAACAAGATCTAGATAATTTATTATTTGAAGTTTGTTTTAAATCCAATTTTTCGTGTGACTTGTGTCATAAAGTTTATAAAACGTAATATGACCTGAAAAGACATAAAACTTCGAAACACAAACAAATTAACTCAATTAGCGAAGATAAAGACTCCATACAATTTAGTTATCTTGATCTTGAGAAAATTGTTGAAGAATGTACTTGTAAATTATCCAATGATTTAAGCTTGCCTAAAGAAACTCGAATCCAATTTTTAAGGCAGAATTTTGCTTTTAGTTCTGAAAATTCAATTTCTCTTTTCGAAAATTTTCAATGTTTTATTTCGAAATACAATGGTGATGCAGAAAAATTTTGTTCTCAATTTTATGGACTTCTTTGTGAAAATTTATTGCCATCAAAGATTCATTTATTTTACTAACCAATACTTTGCTTACTGAAGTTGGAAATCACAAGTTTCTAGATCTTTCAGAAAATAAACATGATAATTCATCTAATAGCGAAGTTTCGTCATCTTATGTTTTTTCTGATAAAGATTTAAGTATAATTCAATATTTGTTCGGCTTCTTGTTGTTCAAAAACTTTACTCAAAGTTTAAATTTTATAAATCTGATGAGCAGTATAATGGCGATTTCACAGCTCAGCGAAAACTTTGCTCTCTTATATCTTTTTGCATAGGAAAGCAAGCAACCTGAATCAATTAGTGTTCTCAACCTCTTTCCAGCCATATATTAATAATACTAGGCTTTATATGTCTTGACTTATATCCATATCTTGAGACCACTTTTAAAAAAAGTCTTAAAACGGAAACGTTTTTTTAAAACGAAGCTTTTGAAGGTAAGGGTTCCGAAGTACCAAAACACATCTAATGTTTATAAAACTTTCCGTATATATTAAACAACGGTTGAGGAATATAATGGAATGTGAACACTTTTTAACATTTATACATAAATTTTTAGTTCTCAACGTTTAAAAACCTCAAGGTTAATTATTAAAATAAAATTCAATTTCCATTTTAGGCTGTGGAAATTAACAACTTACGTGAAGTGGTGGTTCAATCTATAAGTCAAGAATGTAAATCATACTTTGATAGAAGTAAATTTTTAAATCCGGAAAAATAAATCACAAACATTATGCATTTCAATAATTTTATTTATAGAAACTTAAGTTTGATGATCTATCTTTATTTTCTTTTCGCAAAGCTCAAACATCATCAAACTTCGGCTCTTTGATCAACAAAAGATTTGTTGTAATCACTAAAATTAATATTAATTTTAGCTACCAAAGTATTTTCAGAAACAATAACCTGCAAGAATATTTTGGATTTTCTGGATATAAATGATGCCATTATTTCTCTCAAATATCCTGATTTTATGTTAACCAATAGCCATTTTTTACAAATTTGCAAAGACAATTATAAACATAAAATAACATTAGAAAATCTATAATTATTTTTTACAGCCAATTATAATACTTCTAGAGTGATGCTTATAAGGAACTTAAAAAAGTTCAAAAATTACATTTTAAAATTAAATCAACCCAAAAATTTGGATTTTTTTAAGTTCTGTTTTATCTTTTAATGATGCTTTTTCTGATGTTGTTGGTTTGTTACCTTCTGATGCTTGTTCTATCTACAATAGTGAAATTGTTCCAAACCAAGTTACTGTTTTTGTATCTTCTGATTTAAACTTGAAAATTACTAATGATGAAAATGTCGTGCCCTGTTACCCCAACCTCTATTGTATACTACCCTTTAGTAAACAGATCTGAAAATTTTCTTCCTGAAACGCGTGTTAATGAAGAGATTCTTCCAGTTTCTAATTTAGATAAAAAACTACCTTTATTATCTGGTGATTTGACCTATCAAATAAAAAGATACAAACGGAGAATTAATTACTTTAAATTGCAAAATAGACAAGTTAATAGAAGATGAAATGAATATAAGAGAAAATATCAAGCAATCATGTCAAAATATAATGTCAGAAATCTCAACAAAAGAGGCGTTGAAAGGATTGTGTGGTTAGCCAATTATTAAAAATAAATTTAAGATTGAATAAATTTAAGAAAAAAAATTGATTTGGCTAGAAAGCGTTCACAATCAGATCAACAAAAACTTGGTATTTAAAGAAAAAAATTGAAAACACTGTTTTCAATTTTTTTCCTCTGATGAAACGAATGATTCAATCTTAAAGGAGAGTTTGAATTACTTCGAAAATCTTACAGAAAAGCTAAAGGAAAGATATTAAAAAAAAATGTAATTGACGTTTTTGAAGGAGATAGATACAATGATGAAAATCGCACTGCATATTATGGCCTTTTAAGTAAAAATGTTTCTGTTAATAATGTTAAATCTCTTATCTGAACTGTATCAAAAAAAATGGTTGGAATTTCATGTGGCTCATTTTTAAAAAAATTCTTCGCTTCTTAATTTTTTAGTGAAATGAACCTTTTATCAAAAACTTAAGTAAGAGAGGCTATGTTGAATAGCACACACAATGTTCTTCATGCAGATGGAAAAAAGTATAATTTTAGGGAGGTTGGTAGTTTTCAAGTCACAACACCATCTGAAGCAATTTGAAGATTGGAGGGAAGCAACTTTGCCTTTTGTTGTTAAAAACTATGATCAGCTTCCTTTAAATGAAAAATGAAAAATTTCTTAAATGCATCATGTGGCTTACACGTTATCCACAATCTAGGAATATATGCAGAAAAATAAATCATAGAATGGGAAAAAATAGTTGAGCAAAAAGGTAGTATTCATGGTGGTTTTAAAAATTCTCAAAACTCTTGCACCTTTGATATTTTGTATGAACTTTTAAAACTTATAAGCTATAGGCATGGTGATCAAAAGAATGGGAAAGTTGATGAATGGAAGCCATTTTTGAGTCAAAAAAATTATATGGTTTCATTTCTGCATCACCACTTTAACATTTCATTTTTCCTTATCAACGTATTTTCATAAAGATCTTATCATATTAATCTCATCTTAAAGAATTTGTTTTCAACTTTGATGGTTCAAATTTCCTTCATGAATCGATTAGGCATGATATTTGCAACACTATTTATCACGCTTCAACTAGAGCTCTAGGAATTTTTAATAAACTGATACCAAGACCTTTTTTTGCATTATTGAAGAGGAGGGTCATATTTTTCATTGAATTCCGTTTGGTCAATGTTCAATTATTTTGT